TGGAAAGACTTTGACAAAAAGCATGAGTCTTTCGCCAAAGATCCGCGTAACGTTAGGCTCGGACTAGCTAGCGATGGTTTTAACCCGTTTGGAAACATGAGTAACTCATATAGCATATGGCCGGTTTTTCTTGTCCCATACAATTTACCACCATGGAAATGTATGAAGGATCCATTTTTTATGATGCCTTTGCTTATTCCTGGGCGTAGGGCTCCCGGGTTTGACTTTGATGTGTTTTTACGGCCATTGATAGATGAGTTAAAGGAGTTATGGGAGGTAGGGGTAGAAACATACGATGCATCAAATGGCCAAAGTTTTCAATTACGTGCCGCATTGTTATGGACCATCAACGATTTCCCTGCATATGGTAACTTATCCGGTTGGAGCACCAAAGGGAAATTGGCTTGCCCTTCATGTAATGAGGATGCATCTCACCAATACTTGCATCATTGGAAGAAAACTTGTTACACGGGGCATCGTCGTTTTTTGCCGCATAATCATGTTTTACGAAAAAGCAAGGCATTCAATGGTGAGCCAGAGCGTAAATTGGAACCCAAGTTGTTGTCTGGGGAGGAGGTTTTGGGACAATTGGAGCATCTTGACTCGACAGTATTTGGGAAGATAGATGAACGTGGGAAGAAGCGAAAACGTTCTCCTCAATATTTAAATTGGACAAGGAAAAACATTTTTTTTGAGTTACTTTATTGGAAAACCCTTCTCCACAACCTCGATGTTATGCACATTGAAAAGAATGTATACGATAGTGTGATGGGAACATTGATAAACGTTGATGGAAAAACTAAGGACTCATACAAGGCTCGTTTTGATCTAGTGGCTATGGGTATAAGGCCTAAATTACACCTAAGGCAAGTAGATGGAAAAACTTTCCTACCCGCTCCTTGCTTCACGCTCTCTCCAACTGAAAAAAGAAGTTTTTGTGAATTCTTGAGTACAGTTAAATTGTCAGATGGCTATGCATCAAACATATCACATTGTGTGAGCACTAGTGATTGTCGAATTACAGGGTTGAAAAGCCATGATTGCCATGTTATCTTGCAAAGATTGCTTCCTGTTGCCCTACGTGGATGTTTGAAAAAGGATGTGAGCAAGGCTTTAATTGAGCTTTTCTTGTTCTTTAAGGAGTTATCGGCAAAAACATTGAGAGTTGATGTCTTAGAACAACTTGAGAAAGATATTGTTTTAATTTTGTGCAAGCTTGAGAAGATATTTCCACCATCTTTTTTCGATATTATGATCCATTTATGCGTACACTTATCACGTGAAGCAATCCTTGCTGGACCGGTGCAATACCGGTGGATGTATGCATTTGAGAGGTACATGCATATTCTTAAGGGCTATGTGCGTAACAAAGCCCGTCCAGAAGGCTCTTTTGCTGAAGGTTACATTGATAATGAGGCTCTTACCTTTTGCTCTATGTACTTCAATGAAGGTGAGACAAAATTTAATAGACGAGAGCGGAATTATGATGGGTCTATTAAAGCTACACAAGATGGAAATATTTCTGTATTTAAGCAAAAAGTACGTGGAATAGGAGCTGCAGTTAATGATGTGTTGAATTTAAAAGATTTGAAGAAAGCTCGATGGTATGTGTTGAATAATTGTGATGAAGTTCAACCGTATGTGAGGTAAGAAACCACCATATGATTATATTCACTGCAAAAATTTTCATTGTGAATTCTACTACTTTCACAACTATTTGTGTCAAATAATGTTGTGTAATAATTTATAGGCAATACATGGATGAACTTGAGAGACATGGTTTGAGAAATGTTCAAGAGAGGCTGGAATCAGAGTTTCATACATGGTTTCTAAAATACGTAAGAGCTATAAATTTTTAACCTTATTTGTGCATTTAAATAATGTAGCTAAGTATATGCTAATACATTTCACATCATAAATGGAATTAGGTCACAAAGCAACAACTTGAAGGGACCATGGACGCTTCCAATCAACTTATGAACCTAGCCCGAGTTCCTGATAGGCGAGTGACACACTACAGTGGTTGCACTATCAATGGGACCAGATTTCACACTGAAGATAGTGACATGAACCGAAAAACTCAAAATAGTGGTGTGGTTGTTAAGGGTGACCATAAAGGAGAAGCTATTGTTTTTTATGGAGTTATTAGAGATATAGTCGAGTTGAAATATCTAGGGAGAAATTGGGTGTTCCTCTTTAAGTGTGATTGGTGGGATGTTGGCAATGAAAAAAATGGAATGAAATTTGATGATTATAAATATGTTAGTGTGAATGTTACGAGAACTTGGTACAAGGATTAACTGTTTGTGCTAGTATGCCAAGTTGTACAATTATTTTATATAAAGGACATGAAATTTGGCAACAATTATCGAGTTGTACAAAGAATAATATCTCAGGGAATATATGACATTCTAGTGAAAGGGGACGAAGAGGAAGAGGAAGAAAAAGACAATGATGAACCATACCAAGATTTTGAATCATTTGGTCTTGGAAATGCAGTGCACATGGATGATCAACCCACAAAATTATGCAAAGAAGAGATGGAAATGATATGTGTTGATATTGATGGCGAATTGCATGAGGAGGAACTTGAAGTTGATGATAATAATATAGAAGAGGATGAGACTCACATGGATGATAAAGTCCATGATGATATGATTGATGATGATAGCGATCATGAAGATGAAATTGATGAAGATGATATGATTGATGATGATAGCGATCATGAAGATGAAATTGATGAAGATGATATGATTGATGATGACAGTCAATGATGATTACTTGTTATGAACTTGAAATTATGTTGTTCTAATTGGATTTGATTTAGAGTTGTTAAAATTGTTAATTTTTTTTTAAATTTATTTAAATCTTTAATTTTTTTGCTATGTATAGCACTGATATGAAGATCTTTCACTACAAAAAATTAAGGTTTTGGAGACCAAAATTTAGGAATAAAATCATTTTTAAGGGACTAAATAATTTTATTGCGAAAAGTGTCATTATTATGTTTTTAGCAACCAAAATTGGACATTAGTGGTGAATTATTATCTTTTTGGGACCAAATTTTTTGTCTCAAAAAATAAATCATTTTGAGACAGATTATTTTGTTCCTAAAAGTCTATTTATTAGTGACATTTTCAAAATTTTGTTGTTAAATGCCTCGTTTTTTACTTTTCGAGACGACCTTTTAGCGACTATCCTCATGACGATGGAAATTGGTCCATAAATGTCTTTCACAACAAAATTTTCACTTTTAGAGACCAAAACATTTGGTCTCTAAAACTCTTATATGTTGTAGTGTTTCAATCCATTCAAGCTGTATTGCACTTTTCCTCTGATCTGTTGTGTCTAACCAGCTTCCAAACAGGTATGTCTACAAGAGGCAAAGAAGGAGCAGGGTATGTACCTAGACCCCATGCGCCTACACACCATGTGCCTACACCCCATGCATCCACTAAATCAGTTCGCTCATCCACTCGATCAACACTTGGACCCCATGCATCCATTAAATCAGTTCGATCATCTACATTGCACCCATTTACATCAGAATCGGTACATGAAGTTACATCACAAGTTTCACACTCGGATACTTCTAGCACACATTGTAGCACTGATGGTTTGTAAATATTTTAAGTTTATGTTTTTTTTTTTGGTTAGTGGTCTCTTCTTTTCAATCTATATATTAACATGATACTTTTTCATTGTTTCTAGTAGGCACATCCAAGGATAAGAGAGGACGTGGGAAGTCACGAAGCCTCAAATTGGCCACGCTAAAAAATCAAAGGGTGTGACTGCCTATTCGGATTTGTAAGGTTAGTGAATGGCCATATAGTGAAGCATCTGAAAAATTTACTAATGAATTAGGGATTGTCAGTAGGCAATTTGCTCCACAAAATGTGCCATCATGGACTGATATTAGCGAAGAGGATAAAGAAACATTGATTGCATACCTTCAGGTAAGTGGTACAACTGCTGAGATTTAGATTGGCTGAGTTTGTTATGGGGAAATCAAATGAAGCTTGATTTTCTACTATGAAATTTCTTTCATTTCTTGCTTGCTTTCCATTTCCACAGTTTTATGGTTTTCCCTTTTCCCTTTTATTTGTTTAGAATTTTTAATCTAGGCCAATCTCTTTCTTGGCATGTGTGTGTGTGTCTGGATTAGTTCAAGTGTTCTGAAACATCTATTCCCCGTTCCATGTATGTTAGTATTTGGCTTTTGGTGTAGACTATACTCTGTGTTCTTGAAATTATCTTTTTTTGTATCAATGAAACTTCTGCTTGATAAGAAATGATGAGAAAAAGAACTCTTTTAATGTGCACTACAAGAAAGAATACTTTTGGCGACCACCTTTTTTTTAATTGGTCGCAGATAGGCTACTTTTTGCAACATTTTTTTGGTCACTGACGGGTTGTGTTTTCGCGACCAACAATTTTTTTGGTGGCTAATAGGTACTTTTTTGTGACCAAAAAATAAAATTTGGTCACAAAAAGTATTGGCGGGAGAGGGGGGAAAAAAAGCAGGATATCAAAACTTTTGGTGACCAGTAAATTGTGGTCACAGAAAGGAAAATGTCATCTTTTGTATCAAAACTACATAGTTTTGAATGTTTCCTAAATCAAAAATGAATTCCTAAAAATTGATCTTCCTTTTCATTGTTGCTCTTTTCTTTGGACTCCCCATAGTCAGATTGGTTGCTTTGTTGTATCTCCTCACTCTCTACACTCCCAATCAGTAACAAAACCCAAGCCACCATCTCCATTCCATTCAGTTCATCCCCTGTTTTGCTGCCTCTTCATCTTCTCTCCGCTATTTCTGCTTACCAGGTTACCCTCTCTCTCTCTCTCTCTCTCTCTCTCTCTCTCTCTTTCTGGATCAAAAAGAGCCATGGACAACAAAAAAAAGTTATCCTATAATCACACCATGGGTTCAAGGTCACTTTCAGCAGCAATCTCAATTACGGTAGCATATTTTTTGTTTGAAAACTATTAGTTAATGCTGCATTTTTTTTATTAATAATATTGCTAAGCTTGCATTTTATATTTTTAATGTAGGGAATTAAAAATGGCAAGGAGCCTCACATCGTAGATTTAAGACCTCACATTGGAGTAAGAAAAAGAATGATTAGATTGAACCAGTTTATGGGGTGTTATATCTAAGTATACCTTCACTATATTTGTTATTCATAGTCCAAACTACTTTCATTAATTACACTTTAACTCTTTCTGATTTTACTTGAAAGCACTTTACCCACCTGAAGTATAAAAATATATATACATAGTAATTAAAACTACACATATAATCCCATACACAACCCGTACGAGTAGGTATTAATACTAGAGACCAAATTAACAACCAAAATAGAAATAGAGATCTACACATAGTAATTAAAACTACACAGATTTTCTAACCAATGACATGATAGGGCGCATGTTACAGCCACCACCAAGTCAACAATCTATTCCTTTGAAGAACAAGAGAGACATTATCCATGGAAGAGCACCCATTGCAGCCACCTCCAAACCACCAAACTAATCCCAACAGCTTTAGATGAACCTGTCCAGAAAATAGGTTTTGTGATGAATTGCCAAGACAACACAAATTGTTCCAATCATAAAGCAAAAAGAATAACATGCACTCAATATATGGGCTCACACCACTCAACCCACCAATATAACATAATAAATCATAAATTGATTATGAACAAGACATGTACTTCCTATATGAAGGCAATCATGTTCGGGATAACATATAGTTAGTATGAAGAAGCTTTGAATTATGAATGAAATTGCAAAAGTTCAACCTATTGTCTTGGTTAGGATTTTAAAAGAGTTAGGATTTACATTTTAATCTAAAGTGCAAGAGGGTTATGTGTACAATTTTAAACTTTAGGAAGCTGACGTGTTTTTTGACAAAATTACAAGGGGGTAAAATGTAATTAACTTTTTTTTTTCTTAAAAAAAAAATTGACAGGAGAAGATGGACCAACCTCGTGGAGAAGCTTCACGGCCTGGAGCAACCCTGATGACACAGGAGCAACTTTTTGTTCAAGTCCTTGGGAAGAGGTCAGGGTATTTGAAAGGTTTCGGGGTTGGTCCAAAGTCGTCTTCTGCTTTCAAGTCTACAGCCAGGTCACAAGCGTATGATGAAGAGGTTAAGGGCCTTAAAGAAGAGGTAGCATCACTGAAAGGGATAATTCAGTCATATAAAGGACAATTTGAGTAGTTCGAACACTTTATGAGACAAATGCAGGGCGATCATAGTGGATGCAACTCTTTTGATGAGTAAGTACTTTAAATTTTATTACATATATTAGAGCTTTTAAAATAGTAACATTTTATAATTAACCAATTTCACTTGTTCCGTTTATGCATGTTCTTGAAGTGACTGTTAATATTTGTTCCACTAAAGATATCTGTAATTTTCTAACCAAGATCCAAATCCTTAAATTTTTAATGAGTTTGTATCATGGGGAGGAAACTTAATATATGTTAAGTGAACTCGAATATGTTAAAATCATCATCTTAATACAATATGTTAAGATGTGATCATGATGTTCAAAAGGCTCTGTGTGATTGCTAGTTTGGGAGTGGAATTAGATCCACAGAATTTTACAAAATTAAATAGTAGTGTAAGCAAAAATATTATTATTAACAGCGCTTTCTTCATTTTTTTTCTCTTTGCAGGTAGCTAGAGGTGTAGTCATGCGTATTTATGGACATGATCAGTTTGCCAGTGCATGAATTCTAAGTTGTGCTTATACGTGGAGTTTTTGATATATTTCGCATCAGACAAATATGACATGCACTTGGATATGAATGGTTTTTGAAATCTTTGATGGTTTTGTTAAATATGTTTTTGATTTGGTGAATATTCATTGTAAACTAAATGGATGGATAGATGGTTATTTTGCCAAATATTAATGTGTTCATGTTGACAAGTGGTAGTAATTAGATGGATTAATTACTATTTTGACTTCCTTTTGATGGTTTTTTGTTAGTAGATTGGATTGTTGATGGATTGATATGTTGAAATTAATTTGATGGACATGAATTATGCATTAATTGCAAATGTATTATAGGTATTACAAAAAAAAAAAAAGTAGCATTGTATAGACATAAATGCTGTTTAACAATGAAAGCTTTTTTGCGACCAATAAAATTTTAGTCGCAATAGGTCCTTCACAAGCTTGTAGGAATAGTTGTTGTGCTAGACTTTTCACGACTAAGCTAGTTTTGGTCACCAAAGCCACATTTCAATGACTAAAATCGGTGGTCATAATTGTTACCTTTCAGCGACTAGATTTTTCGTCACAAAACGAACTACTTTTGAGAAATTGAAATACTTTCCGCGACCAACTTTTATTTTTGGTCGCCAAAAACCTTCTGTGATCGGCTTTTAGCGACTATATTGCGAGCACCTTTTTTTGGCCGCTAAAAACCATCAGGGACTAGATATGAGCTTTCTGCGACCAAAACGTTGGTCGCTAAAAGTGTTATTTCTTGTAGTGGTGCTTTAATTTTTTTTCTAGTTTGGTATGACAAGAAGGTTTTAAGTTTACCAATGAACCCTATGCTATCGAATCTATCCTCAAATTGATGCACGACTGGTATAAGAACTATCGCCATGACCTACGACAACGCTTTAGAAGTTTCCCCACAATGGAATCTGCCCTGAATCTGCCCTTGCGGATCCACCTGAAAATATGGAAAAAGTGATGTGGACGTTCTAGTGCGAAAAGTGGCCTAACAAGGACTCTAAGGTAACTTTGTCAATCTTGTCCCCTTTTCCGCCAAACACGGTGGTAACTTTGTACTCTGACATATGCATTTAATAATAGGTGAGATGTGGCAAGAATAAGTTGAATTGGGAGAAGTTGAAAGTCATCCACACTATTGGCTCGAAGGCCTTCAGAAAAGTGCAATTTGACGAGGTATTAATTATAGAATCTATAATTTATGTTTTGCAGTTGTAATTGAACAACATAATCTATATTGATGTTTAATGTGTGTTATAAATGGCACAGCGAGACTGTGCCACTGGAGAGGAACTTAGACTTGTTGAGTTATATAAAAAGACGCATTTTAGTGAGAAAAAAGAGGCATAGGTGTAAGAAGATGTTGAGATTAGACATGTAAGACACCAATCTTTATGCACTTTCGTTCTTTATATCCTTAATAAAACATGGATGGATACTTAGTTTTATCTCAACTAATGAATATTGTAGTACAAGCTTGAAAAGCGGCATGACAAAGCTATTGAAGATGGATCTGGCCCGTTATCCGATGAGCAACTTTCTATTGAGGTATTTGGACAAAAATTTGGCTACATACGAGGCTCAGGACGTGGTTGAAAACCAAGTACAACGTTATCTAGAAAACGTACCCGTGCCCAACTTGAGAGGGATACTAAGGCTACTACAAGGGAGGCTGAAGAGCAATGAAGAATCAATGATGAGCTAGTAGAAAGAATTCAAATCTTGGAGCCCAATCGCACGCAATACAATGCCAAAATCAACTTCTTGATGTAGCAGATCAGTCGAAGAGGACCCTCTATTGATTCTTCTTCTTAGTAAGTCATCTTTTGAGATCTACATTTGATTTCCTTTGTGGGTTTCTATACTAGTTTCATGGGTATTCACTTTGTTGAGCATGAATTCATAGCTTAGCATCAATAATTGCAGTTTACTAGTGGACCATTAAGCCTTGTATGGCTGATTTCTCATTTCTAGATTACTTCATTTACAATTTGTACTGTAAACTGTTCCCTTAAGTATTTTATTCGACACTCATTACTCGATGTATCCATGGTTTTAAGTGTTTTGAAATTGTTTACTGTTTCATCATATTTGCTTTTATGTTAAGGTCTGGATTGAATTTACTAGAATTGTTGAACTGAACAATCTTTCATATAACTCAAATGTCTCATTCTGCTTCCCATCCTTTAGGCTCAAAGGTTCCTTAACTCCATTTTGCAATGAAATTGTATAATCCATAAAAGAAAACTTTGTCAAGAATTTTGTTGGATTTTACTTGTTATGTCTGTTGACTACTTAGCATAAGATTTTAGCAACCAATTTAGGTCATAGAGGGAAAGTCCTGGGATGAATCTTTGATGTTTCATTTTGTTTCGCGTGTTTGTGACTTGAAAATCATTCTACAAGCACATGAATGCTGGTAATAGAAACATAAAAAATGAGGGAAGATGATGCTTCATGCATATAATAAAATTCATACAGTTATGGATTGTGTCCAATTCTAAACCTTTGGTTATTTTATATTGTGATTGCAGTTTACATTGAAATTTGTTTTCTATTGTCAACTTGAAATGAAGTTCTTTGCCACTAGATCTTGTTTCTGATTTCATAGATGCATGTTATGTGAATTAAAGTTGTCCTTGATCACCATGTATTGGTTGTTACTATCTTGTTTTTGGAACAGTGATTTAAAAATTAAAAAAAAAGAAAAGTAGGCAAATTAAACATGAAGTTATTGACAACAAGCATTACCAAAATCACTCCAGTGTCAGTTTCTTTACAGTTGTGCTGATCTATCCGTTTCTTGAATTTCTTTCCAGATGTGATTTTCTGACACTTTTCCTAAATTTGAGATATGTAAATAGGTTTCCAGCCAAACTCCAACTCTCTAGGTACCACCCCTCTCCTCCTCTGTCTTCCCCTCAATCTGGGTTCTCTGTCTTTTTGTTTCAAAAATCTAAAGAAATTTTCATAATTGGGTGAAAAAGGTGAGAGCTTTGTCTGGATAACTTTTGAATATGAGTAACCCACTTTCCCCATTCGTTATTTTCTTCTATGTAATTGAAAAAACTAGTATTTTTTATATATGAATTATAGTTTGTTGTCTATGTGTTCATATTTTAGTATTTAGAACCATTTAAATCAAATTTGGTTGTTGATATTTGATCAGATCATCAACAATTAGTTTTGTTTTTGTTTTTGTTTTTGACATTTCTTTTTTTTTTTTTTTTGGTTTTTTGACATTTCTTTTTTTTTTTTTTTGGTATATGGTTTTACATTCACAATTTTTCTATGCATCTGATTTAGAATATGAGTAAAATCATTTTAATTTTTTATTTCATATAACGACTTTGAGTTTTTAAGAATTTTTTTGTGCTCTTCAGATTGAGAATTAGAGTGTGTAGCTTCACCAAGTATTAATCCTAAATAAGTAAACATAGCTTTTTTTCTTCTTTGATTGGCAGGAATGGGAACTGAGAGGGGGACTTGCGACGAACAGTAGGGCTGAGCTATGGTAGCGTGGGTCGTGTTGTGCGTTGCGAGGCCCAGGCTCTGTGTCAGACCGAGCTGAACCAACGCGACCCCCGGCCCATCTCGTTGGGCCGAGCAGATCGCCAACCGGAATATAGAAGACGAGCTGTGAACAGTGATATGTTGGGCCGAGTTGCGGGCAGTCCAGACTAAATATGGGTCGAGATATTTTGTAAGGTAGCAAGGTGAGACCGAGGTACCAAAACTGCATGTCTCAAGGCCGGTCAGTTCAGATAAACTGATTTAGTATAGTTCGGCTATTCCAGTTATTGTGGTGTTTTTTCCCAAGTTATAGGTCGGTCTTGATGGCCCGGTTGTGTAAGCCACCTGGACCAATGATATGATGAAGGGATAATCCACTCCTGGTATGCATCAATACCGTTTGGCTGTTCGGCAAATAGTGTTTGGAGGTTTTGGTCTCTACACGTATAGGGAAGGTAGAGGGGAGCACAGCCACCTGTCTAGGGAAGGACAGCAGAGGTAGTGCACCCACAATCTCTGAGGCTGCATGGCCAACCTAGAAAAAGGAGGAATGGAGGAACGTTAGAGGTAAGCAACCTGAAGGAGTTCAGAACTCTCTCTCTCTCTCTCTAAAAACTGCTATGTTCCCATTCTTCTTCTTCTTCTCCAAGTGTAATGACTTGATGGTCGGAGGGTTTATCTGGCAGCACACCGCCAGGCAGCTCACATCTTTTTATTTTCAGGTCAAGCAACGTTATGTGAAGCTTGAGTTCAAGGAGAACGGAGGATATTTCACCCCCGTACAATTGGCGCCGTCTGTGTGGAAAACTTTGACAGATAAACCTTGTTCTTCAAGCTTTTTCGACCATTTCCATGGCTAACAATGACGAAACTCTGTTGTCCGTTGTCGATGGTATCAGACCAGAGTCTGCCCAACAGAGAGATGGCCCTCATGTTATTTCGACTAAGGCGGGCCTGGAGACCACTTCCAGAGGTGCGTGAGACAAACACGCAAGGAGCACTGATCAATCGAAAAGTCCAGAGGGATGCTGACAATGGAGAGAGTCACATGCTCAGTGCCTAGAGCACAAACTCAGAGACCAGGATGCCCTCATTCACAAGATGGCAGCTGAAATGGAGGCGCTGAAGCGCCAGATCAAGGGAAGGGTGTTGCTGGAGAGGGCAACCGCAGTAAGCGCACCCCGTCCCCTCGCTCTGGTAGTCGCCGCCAAGATAAGACGCCCTATCTCTCTATCACCAGAAGCTATGGGGTAAGGGACTCCAACCCACAGGTGAGGAGATCTTACACTCGCGACAACAATTACCGTCCTTCACGTCTGTCGACGACATTGAGATACTCTTACTCCACCCGTTCGAGGGACCTAAGGGAAGTGTTGGAGGAGTGGGCTCGACGTAGAGAGCTAGAGAGTGCCTGCATTGCAAAGGCTGAGTCCCCAAATCCGTTGTAGTGAGGAAGTGACAATGCCAGCGCCGGTGGACAGAGAGCTAGCGAGACTTACTGCAACCTCACTGTCCCAGAAATCTAGAGCACGCTGCTCCTTGCCGGATTCCACCAACCTAAGTTCACGTTATATGATGGCAAAACAGATCCGTACATGCACGTGAGTCATTACCGGAAAGTAATGGTTGGCCACCGCATAATGACGCCTTGATGTGCCTTATATTCCCAACAAGCTTGGAAGAACTGGGCCTGAAATGGTTCGAAAGGCTTCCTGAGGAGAGCATCAAGGGATGGCAGCAACTAGCAGCGACCTTCGTTACCAGATTCAAAACCAACACTCGAACACCGAAGGAGGTTGACCATCTCCTGTGCGTCAAGATAGAATCTGGAGGCTCTTTGAAGGCATACAATGCCAAGTACTAGGAAACCTATAATGAGATCCTCGATTGCCCCACCAATCTGGCGATCACGCAATACAAGCGGGGTCTCCCAGTCAGAGAGGCTGGGAGATTCCCTTACGATAAACCAGCCCATAACCATGGAATCATTAATGCAGCGGATCAATGAACACATCTGAGTAGAGGATGATGCCGCCACCGCAACCGAGAAGGTGAATTCGGTTGCGACAGATAGAAGAGTGGCGGGGAAGGTTCACTCGGTGGGACAGAAGGATAACTGCCCAAATGACGAGCTAAAAACCAACATCGCAGTTCAAACCGCAATGATAGGAACAAAATTCGCAGAGACGACCAAGCTAACACTCCTCGTGATGAAGAGGAACATGCCAAGAGAAAGTTGAAAGCGTGAACTAGAATCACCACTGTCTTTAACATCCCTATTTACCGCATCTTGAAGGAAATCTAAATTGAACCTTACGTCCGTTGGCCGACCAAGTTGGGAAACATACAGAGGGGCTTCAACTCGAGGTATCTTTTGGCTACTAAAATTTTAGTCGCCTAAAGTCAATCTTTTTTGGCTACTAAAATTTTAGTCGCCAAATACTATTTCTTTTGGCTACTAAAAATTTAGTCACCTAAACTTCCACATTTGGGCTACTAAATTTTTAGTCGCCAAAAGTATTTTTATTCTTCAACTTTTGTTTTTAGCTACAAAATATTTTAGTCGCCAAATGTTTGATTTTCTTTTGGCTACAAGACTTTTAGTAGCCAAAGGTTTCATTTTCTTTTGGCTACAAAACATTTAGTAGCCAAATGGTAGTTTTTCTTTTGCTTACAAAAAATTTAGTAGCCAAATGTTTGATTTTCTTTTGGCTACAAAACTTTTAGTAGCCAAATGTTTGTTTTTTTTTTTTCCCCTTTTTATTGGCTACAAAACGTTTAGTCGGAAAAAACATGATATTATGTTTTATTGCAAACATTATAATGTGTCCATAACATGTCTGTATTCCATGCAACCTGTAATACGTATATAAATAAAATGATACATAAACTATCAATCATTCCACAATTTGCATCCGTGTACAAAAAAAAAATTACTTTGACTGTCCAAGTACATACGAACCAACTATTGTCTAAACTAAAATAATAATTCCATACAACATATAGAATCGTACAAAAAGTACAGCTCTCAATATACAAAAATTACATTTACTATACCATGTGAAATGACCATTTGGCATGGTACAAATTACCATCATAATCTATACCACGACAAAAGGTGATGTATGTACCAAGCCAAAAATACATCTATGTATCACGAAAAAAAATCATATACCTGTACGGCGTCAAAAGGAGATCTATCTACCATGCCAGTACTTATCTGTTTGCTGCCAAAAGTTTTTTGTATCAGTAATGGTTAACTGCACAAAAGTCGGAGATGACAAAAGTATTATATTATTTTTATACAAAAGTACAATTTCTTCTCCATACACGAAAGTATTATACCAGATAGCCATGTACAAACCAGACCGAGAGATCACTTCGTTCACCACTCCAGGAGGCCTGTATTGCTGCAAGGTCATGCCATTCGGATTGAAAAATGCCGGGACAACTTTTCAAAGGATGGTAACCAAAATGTTCGCTCCCCTTCTTGGCTGCACTATGGAGGCTTATATCGATGATATGGTGGTAAAGAGCAAGGAAAAGTCTCAACACCTCGCAGACCTAGCAGAGATGTTTGCCATACTTAAATATCACAAGTTGCGTTTGAATGCCTCCAAGTGCGCCTTCGGAGTTGGCATCGGAAAATTTCTAGGTTTTTTGGTCACGAAACGAGGAATTGAAGCCGACCCTTCCCAGATCAAGGCAATACAAGAATTGGAGCGTCCAAACTCCACGAAGGACGTGCAACATCTCGCCGGAATGGCAGCCGTTCTGAATCGATTTATCAGCCGATCTTCAGATCATTGGTGGCCCTTCTTCAAAACTTTGAAGCCCAAGTTCTTTTGGGATGACGAGTGCGGCCATGCAATGGAGGATCTAAAAATATACCGTTCCTCAGCCCCAATCCTGTTCACACCGAAACCAAACGAAGAATTGTATCTCTACTTGGCAGTTTCTCAACACGCGATGAGCGTCGTCTTTGTCCGTGCTGAAATCTTCTACATAAGCAAGACCCTGCTACCGGCTGAATCAAGATATCGACCGCTAGAAAAATCGCTCTTGCCCTGATGATGGCTTCTAGAAAGCTGACGCACTATTTTCATGCCCACACAATAGTTGTGCTAACCAAATTTCCACTTAAGGTCCTCTTTGAAAAGGCAGATTTTACCGGTAGAATTTTGAAGTGGGCCATGGAATTGGGGCTATACGATATCAAGTTCTAATCATGCACTACTATCAAAGCTCTTGCCGACTTCGTTGCAGAATTTGCTCCTGGAACACATCGTGTTTACCATGTCGATTTGGCTAGCGCAGATTTGGTGCAGCCCACAGTTCAGATAGCAGAAACAAGTGTTGGACAACAAGTGGCAGAAGGCAAGAGAAAGCCGAGCAAGAAATGAAAAAGCCAGACAACCTGCTAAAACACAAGCTTGACAGAGACATAGAAATAGACCAGAATGTGCCGACCAGTACCTCGGAGTTGAGGAATTCTCAAAATCCCTCAAACTGCTGGAAGTTGTTCATTGGCGAGACGTGGAAGCTCTTCGTCGATGGGGCCTCCAACAGACATGGCGTGGGGCTGGGGATCATGCTGACTTCCCCAGATGGGCTGACCATCGAGCACGTGATCACACTCGGTTTCCCAGCATCCAACAATGAGGTGAAATATGAAGCCCTCCTCGCCGGATTGAAGAGTGCATTGAGAATGAAAGCATCAGAACTTATGGCATTCAGCGACTCCAAGTTGGTGGTCAATCAGGTCTTTGGGGAATATGAGGCCAGGGATGAAAGGATGGCCCAATATCAAGTGTTGGTACGCGCAGAAATCAAAAAGTTTGTCGCAATAAGAATGGAACAAATTAGCTGCGAGGACAACAACGCAGCCGACGAACTGGCTGGCCTAGCATCCATGCAAACAACTTTTCTCAATCCTTTGATGATAGAATTCTTACCCCGACCAAGCATCAAGGAACCAGAGGTGCCCGAAGTACTCTGCACTGACTTAGGACCGTCCTGGATGGATCATATCATCGCCTTCCTAAAAGATGGAATTCTACCCATTGAAAAGAAGGAGGCCAACAAGATCAGGGCTAAATCAGAGCGGTTTTGGCTCTCTTCATCTGGCGCCTTGTACAATAAGTCTTTCACTGGGCCATACCTAAAGTGCATCCACCCTAGAAAGGTAGAAGCTTTCCTCTTCAGGATTCATGAAGGCATCTGCGGGAGTCCTATTGGGGGTAGGTCTTTAGCTTACCAAGCAATTTCCCAAGGTTATTGGTGGCCATGCATGCAGGCGGACGCACAGAAATATGTTCGCAGGTGTGAAAAATGTCAAAAATTTGCTCACCAAATCCACTAGCCAGCTAGAGAGTTGCTCCCCCTTACAAGTCATTGGCCATTTGCTCTTTGGGGGCTTGATATTGTGGGACCACTTCCAATAGCTCCGGGCAACCGCAAGTTTTTCATCGTTGCTACCGATAACTTCTCTAAGTGGGTTGAGGCTGAGCCGTTGGCAACCATCAAGGAAAAAGATGTAAAAAAGTTTGTTTGGCAGAATGTCATTACTCGCTTTGGTATCCCAAAGGCCCTCATTTCGGATAATGGCACTCAGTTTGATGGTAAACCCTTTCGCGGATTTTGCGAAGAGTTAAAGATTGAGTTTTACAATTCCACACTGGCCTACCCTCAGTCATATGGTCAAGTAGAAGCTTCAAACAAAGCCATCCTAGACGGGCTAAAGAAGCGACTGGAGACGGCCAAAGGGAAGTGGGCTGAAGAACTCCCCAATGTGCTCTAGGCATACCGCACTACACTGAGACGCTCGACCGGGGAAACTCCATTTGCCTTGGCCTCCGACATGGAGGCTGTCATACCATTGGAAATCGGCATGCCAACCATCCGATCTGAAAGTTTTCAGCCAGACTTGAACAATGAAGCTGTGGCCCTAGAACTTGACCTAGCTGAAGAAAGAAGAGAACGAGCTCTAATCCACATAACGACCTACTAGTAAGAGCTCTCCAAAAAATACGACAAGACTGTGCATCCTAGGCTATTCAAGATTGGAGACTGGGTCTTGAGGAAGGTAATGGGCAACACAGTGATCCCTGGTGAAGGCAAATTAGGAGCGAATTGGGAGGGGCCATACAAGATAACTGGCCTTGCAGGCAAAGGGGCATACCACTTGGAAGACTTAGATGATAAAGCTGTCCCCAGACAGTGGAATGTAGCTAATCTAAAAATATTTTACTTTTGAAATGTAATCTTTTCAATTCCTTTGCCTTTTGAACCTTGGCCTTTTGGCATTTGATGTAAATTAGTGACATGTAATGGAAGATAGCCCACCTTTTTCTTATACTATGCGTTTTTGTACAAAGACATTACAAGGATATTGAGTTACTATGACTACCAGGGGCAAGTAGCCAACAACGGCTGGACTTTAGCCGTGCAAACAATTGGCGTTGTGCCCAACTTGTGTTTGGGCTGAGCTGACATTGCTCGCCCGTGCAAACAGTTGGCGTTGTGGCCAACCTGTGTTTGGGCCGAGCTGACATTGCTCGCCTGTGCAAACAGTGGCGTTTTGCCCAACTTACATTAGGGCCGAGCTGACATTGCTGGCCCGTACAAACAGTTGGCGTTTTGCCCAACTAGAGTTAAGGGTGAGCTGATATTGCTCGCCCGTGCAAACAGTGGCGTTTTGCCCAACTTGCATTGGGGTCGAGCTGACATTGCTCGCCCGTACAAATAATGGCATTTTGCCTAACTAGAGTTAAGGCCGAGCTGATATTGCTCGCCCGTGCAAATAATTATTTTGCCCAATTTGTACTTAAGGCAAGCCAATTTTGCTCGAATTGCAAGGTTGATTGGCTCATCATTGACCGAGCTGGTTTTTGCTCACCGTGTGAAGAACAAATTTTGCTTATGATCACCCGAGCTATTACTTGCTCACCAATGTAGAGCTGATTTTGCTCACTCACCGAACTGACATTGTTCGCCTGCTCAAAATGTTGGTGTTATATTCAACAAATATTTTAAACAAAGTAAGTTTGCTCGTTAGACCGAAGAAAATGACAATCACACAAGGCAAACAAGAAATTCACATAACATGGTGAGCAGAAAGTTCAAACTTTTCATTCATTATAAAGCATGATTACAAAAGTGGGACGTAGCCCGATTACATCAAAATGAAAAGAAAAAAGAGAAACACAGGGATTAATCCAAATCAACAGTGTCCGCCTGTTCGATTGCTCCCATCAAGGCGTCTCTGACTTTAGCGCCGACCACCGTGTCAACCTCCTACTCGGGCTCCTCATGCTCTTGGGTCCCTTCCTCGGAAACCTCAGATGGAGGATTTTTCTCGGCCAGTTGCACGATAGAAGCTTCTGCCGCAGCTGCCAGCTTCGCCTCTTCAATTAGCCTTCTCTGCACGGCGATGACGTAAGCTTGCAAGTGGACCGGGATGATGGCGGCAAGAGGGCTTTGGAACACGTCAGAGTCTTGACCAAGGCTAAGTTTTTCCACAGTGGCATTCCAACTGCACTGGAAAAAAAATGTCCTTGGTCCCCTGCACCTGCCGCTCGTAAGCACTCTCACCCTCCACATAGCCGCGGTCTTCAGCATCGTTGACCTGCTTGTCTAGCTCGACTTTGTGGGAGTCGCGGAGTTTACGCAGCACGGCGATGTATCGGGCCTTGGTCACTTCGAGGGCATTCTGCTTATCTTTGTCTGCCTTGGCCAACCGCGCTGCGGTTCTGTCACGCTCGGCCGCTGCCTCTTCCTGCGTGGCCTTCAATTTTGCCAGCTCGGCAGTCTTGGCCTTATTATCGGTGATGGCCTCCTACAGACTTTGCCACACATCGATCATTCGCTCGTGAGCCAGATAGTTCTTCTGCGCAGCCTGCAAACAAAAGAGAAATGTCAGCACGCCAAAATCGAGCGGATGACTTTTAGGTCGGGCAGCTCCTCGTGCTTCTGCATGTCAGTAGGGAGGAGAAATCCCTTGGTCATGTTGAAACCGAGAGAGTAGTCCTTGTCGACATAGACCGAGTCGGCGGTAGTAACTGCTCGACCTTTGTATGTCATCTCGGGAGACCAGATTGGAGGGGCACTGGAGCGGGCAGATGGCTCGGTGATTGGTTGTTCAGTCTGGTCCCCCAAATTGGCAGATGGATGCTTGGTGGAATCCTCATCCACCAAATGTTGTTTCGTTTGATTTTTTCTCAGCCTCTTCTTCAACCGACCAGTAGCTTGTTCGCTGGTGAGAGCTAGCACTGCCCCTTTGTCTTGCGTGGCCGGCATGGAAGATGGTCCCCCAGCTGCCTCTAGTAGTTGAGAGTCGCTCGGCTCGCCAGTGATCATTGACTTGATAGGCCGGATTTTGTTCATCTGTTGCTCGGCGGTCAAAGGAACCAGTTTGATCGGGGAAAGGTTCGAATTTGGTTCTGGAGAATGTGCTCGAGGGAAGTCAGTCACCCTGCTCCTGCGCGGCGCCATGTAACGGTAGCTCAGTTCGAGGCCGAGCAGCTTGTGGGACTCTCACTCCTCGACCGGATGTCGCAATGCAACCCTTATGGCCTCTTGGTTCGCTCGAGAGTAATCTTCCGCCAAGAGTCTATAGTCTACAACAAGAAGGCAAGTGCTAGATCGGCAGTAAAAATAACAGTAAAAAAAAAAAAAATGCCAAGATGCTCACCAGCACTCCTAAAATGTTTTCTTATGTACTAGCCCGGTACGGGCACTTTCGGTGTCTTCATAATTACCAGGCACCCACAAGAAATCATCGTCGTTGGTCTCTTTGTCTGGGTTACCTTCGATGAGTTTTGCTTAGCCTTTCCTGACCTTGAGATACCAGCAAAACCCTCTTTTAATTTTGCTAAGTGTGTATTGATGAAATATCTCGACAAGGCCGAGATTCAGACCGAGTAACCTATTCAACGCGGCCACGCCATGTATTATTTTGTATGTGTTGTTGGAGACTTGGGTCGGGAACAGCCTAGTCTGCCTCAAAAATTCACAGACCAGGGGTTGGACCGGGAAGCGCTGGCCGCCTTCCACAATGGATACCACCATGAAGGGGCATTTGTCCAGTTCACCCCAGTGAGTGTCTCCTTTTTTGGCCAGCTCCAATTGGACGTCGTCTGGAGTATTGTACTCTCTATGGAACTCAACCAGCGCCCCAGGCGAATTAACCATAAACCGGTACTTCCCCATCTATCCCGGTTTTATTTAGTTGGGTAATTTTGGTTGTATCTCGGTCAAATTTGGTGATTGTTTTGCTCGGACTTTGAGCCCCTCCGATTGTAATGCTGAGTGGGCCTGGTCGATCCTAGTTTGTTCTACATTATTAAGAAATAAGTTCAAGTACTAACGCGGCATAATTTACACGGCTCTTATGAGGAAGTTTCTTGCTCGGTAATGGATCCTGGAGCGTTTGACCGATTCAATCTTCCTATCTCGGTTCAACTATCTACGTCGTTTGGTCTTCCTAGCTCGGTTCTAACCCCCTACAACCTACAGTTCGGTCTCGGCCTCAAGAGAGGACCACAAACTAGTTTTTGCTCGGCTAAATCCTATTTTTGGATCTAAAAGTAGGATTCTGCTCGATCTAATCCAGGGTTTAATTCATCCTAAATGTGAAGTTTATGCATTGAAACTAAGGGAAACGAGGGGCACAGAGGCCCCATCCGTCTCTTCGATACCAGTTCTGCCTAATGTCTACTCCCCTACTAGTTTTACCCCAAAGAAGGGGCACTGGAAGGGTACCAAACAATGCCAGACAAGAACACGAAGAGCATTAATGGAGAATACAAAGGAAGGATAGAAAAACTTATGGTTATGGATGCCAAGTGAAGACCCAGTCGACCACGACCTTATCTGAAGCCTTCGTGAGGACGAAGATAGCTGAAAATGACTTGTAGAGCAGCGGTGACAACGATGGCAGCGGTGGCAGGAGCTTAGCGATTTGAAGGCTAGGGTTTGGCTTGAGTGAGAAGATGAACAGTGGTGGCGTGTTTGGCCCCTCACATGTGTATAAAAAGGGTGGGGAAGCCAAAGGGTGGCAACCTTTTGAATTTTGTGCGTGACGAAAACAACTGTGGGGTTACACGAAACCAATGGGGTGAAGCGACGTTGCATCGAAAAGACGGCTTTTCAGTACAACTGAATGATCGATGACATGACCACTGGTGCAATCCTCAACGACCGAAAAAAATCAGATAGCTTGGTCAGAATAATAATCCCAATCACGCTCAGCTCGGATGGAATTAAGGAGCAATTGAGAGGGGGACTTGCGCCGAATAGTAAGGCCAAGCTGTGGCAGCGCGTGTCGTATTGGGCCTCGTGAAGGCCAAGCCTTGTGTCAGATCGAGCTGAACCAACGCGGCCCTCGGCCCATCTCGTTAGGCCGAGCAGATCGCCGACCAGAATGCAGAAGATGACCTGTGGACAGTGATACGTTGGGCCGAGTTGCGGACAGTTCAGACTGAATATGGGCTGAGATATTTTGTAAGGTAGCAAGGCGAGACCGAAGTACCAAAACTGCGTGTCTCGCGGTCAGTTAGTTCAGATAAACCGATTTAGTATAGTTCGGCCATCCCAGTTATTGTGGTGTTTTTCCCCAAGTTGTAGGTCAGTCTTGATGGCCCAGTTTTGTAAGCCACCTAGACCAATGATGTGATGAAGGGAAAATCCACTCCTAGTATGCGTCAATACCGTTTGGCGGTTCGACAAACAGTGTTTGTAGGTTTTGGTCTCTACATGGTAAGAAATGCAGAGGGGAGCACAGCCACCTGTCCAGAGAAG